TAGAACGAAATATACGTTCAGTGCTTCATGATTTTTAATAATCATTCATTTAGTTTCAATCTTCGACGTAATTGACAATTTTTACCACAATTATTTATCCATAAATTAACTATGCATGAAATATATTTTTGCTGATCCATGGTAATGATAGTTCAATTTTCAAAAACGTTGATTATTACCAAGAATAGGACTTGTAGTGTCTGACTATTGTTAGGCTATTATAAAGATGAAAAGTGAACATACAAACATATTTAATCATACTTGTTACTTATTCAGTTCTATTTGTTGTATCTTAAGTTGAAAATGATATTTTTTTATTTATCAAGTAGCAGTTAAGGCAAAAATAAGTGAGAACAAATAATACGTAGATAACAAGTTTGTTTTGTAGGCAAAGAAAATATAACCTCATATTACGTATCTTTAAAAAATATTCGTACATTTCAAATATTCACATAACTGAACTATATATACATATATGTATCTTCAAAAGAGCCACTTCTCTGTAGTTCACAAATAACTGAACATGAAATGCTATTATTCCCCAACTTCTGTTTACACACTCCTAGTTAAATGTGTTTCATTTATATATATATATATATATATATATATATATATATATATATATAAATTATATTTTTGATACAACATAGAATTCTCAGCATAAAGTATTTCAACAAGTTTCTTTTTCTTATACCTTGATCGATTGTGACGATAAGTTTTGAATGATGATCAGTTAGGTGTTCGGAGTTCGGTAGTCCACATTTGATTAATATTCATTCGTTTCAATGCATATTGCCGGCCACCATGATGTCGCTGATTGTACCTTTTTGTATCCCGTATAGCGAAAGGTTGTAAACTTTTCATAAACGCGCCTGAATAGATTGTGAGCACAATAGACATAATGATGTGCTAAAACAAACAACAAAACAGATAACTTCATAAAATATGTAGATCGGAGGAACAGGTAGCCCAGATATTCAAGCAGGCCGCCGTTGTTATGTTATATATATATATATATATATATATATATATATTTACAAGCAGAGGATACAGTGATGTGTTTAACTGTTTACAGACATAAACTAAAAAGGAAAAAAATACTATACCACTAATCAGTTTACTATTTTAATCAATAATCATGAAACATTTGTTAGTATTTACTTTAAACTAAAACTGTCGAACAAATTAATGTAGCACTAATCCAAATGTATCTTCTAAATATATAATTACCATTATGCCTATCATTGTATTTTTTTTTAATCAGGGAACGCCAAATTGCTCCTTATTACAATACAACAATATTTGGAATTACGTTCTTTTTTTATATAAACAATTACCCTTTTTTTTATTATAAATAAGAAATAATTTCTTCATTTGCAATGAATACAAACATTTTCATTCGGCTTAGACTAGTACATATGTATTGTAATTGAATAAGTTAAATAAGTATCTAATTAATAGAAAAACAAAACTGACTGACAACTTCATTGAATATTTTCTATCATCTAATTAGTCAAATTTATTTCATTTATTAAAACTAATTTGTTCTCTATTTTCTATCCTCTAATTTTCCCAAACTTATAACAGATAACTTAAATGGTATCCTAGCCGCCTCCCCCCCCCCAAGAAAACCACTGTTGTTTATTGTAAAAATAAAGTGTTTCAATATAGGGTAACATTGATCATAAATATTTTGTACCAAAGAAATCAGTGCGTAGCAAAAAATTAGGCATATCAACAATGAAATTAAATATTGGAATGATTCTGTACGAATATTGATTGATAAGAATTTATCAACCGAAATAAACTATTGAATGTGTTGTCTTCTGTATGCCAGATAGTTTGATCTCTATTTTCTTTTTTTGAAATATGTATTGATGATGTCGCCTAGACAAAAAAAATGAGAGTTTACGACTAAATTCTACGAATGAAAGAGTGAAACACGTTCAGAATTTTGCTTCTGCTCAACGAAATTTCTATTTATCAACCCGAATAAATTTAACTTTTAAATCCATTAAATCCTTCCATTGGTTCTTTTATAGGAATAGTGATTCAAGTTTTTTTTCCCTAAATTAGTAATTTTGCTAAAGTCTAGATTGAAAAGTAAACATATTTTTACATCACACGACTTGTAATAACAATTTTTGGTCTTCAAAAGTAAAACTGATTAATATAAATTCTCAATCGCAACTCAAAAATCATAAAAAAACTTCAGTTTACTTTGAATAAATTTCCTAGAACCGATGACTTCAATATATCTAGTCAATTAGCGTGGTCAGAACGTGAGTTATACATGACAATTTAGCTCTAGCCTTGACGCTCGAAGCTGATTGGAATAAAAACATTTCGGAAAGGCTCTGCTAGAAGTACCAAACCAGGACATGATATTTTTAGCATGCTACACACCACTCATCTCAACAGCAGTGTTCATATAGCTTACAGCATTCAGTATCAAAATATCTACGAAGATGTAATGATGATTATACATGATAACCATTGCTTAATTTAATTTCTGACTTCGGTTCTATTTGATTTGTATACTTAACAATGATTCATTTTATAATATTAATCTAATCACAATAGTAATTAATACACAAAACTATTTCTTACATGAGTTTTTGGCTAATATTTCAATAAAAAATGTCCCTACTTGTCATTCATATTGAAATGTAAATAATTATGAAGTGATATTTTTTCGGTTTATTCTCTCTCTTAAGTCACTTAATCATTTTGTTTAAATAGTAAATCTTACTAAACTTTATCTCTATGGTAATTATTAAGAAATAACTCAAAGACTATTGGAATTATCTTTTCGTAACTACTGTATTCATGTAGTTTGCCATCTGTTTTAAAGTAAAAAGTTAATGCATGGAAATATTTTTTTAAATGAACTACATAAAGAATTTAATTCAATAAAGTTGGAAACAATTTAAAGACATTAATCATGTGACCAAGACAGCATTTCTGTCACAGTTTTTTTCCACTCCAAAACTATTATATATATATATATATATATATATATATATATATATATATATATATATATATATATGATACTGATACACGATATGCTACGCACTAACCCTACCACTGAATACTTAAGCGAGAGTACAAGAGTAAGCGAGAGAGTGTTTCGGGCTACCACATAAAGTACACAAATACTCATCCATATATATACCACTCTAATCCTTAGGAAATTGATCCTTTCCTTACCCAATGAAATGTACTTGTACTTTAGGTAACATCTGATTGCCATCGATTGACCTTCTCATTAGGCTACTTCTGATTGGCTCTCCATATTATATATATTATTTGAAACAAGTTAAAAAATTTTATAAACTCGCAATCAATTATCCCAAAATTGTCATTCTAAGATTCTAATAAACTAACTGTCAAAACATGAGGAAAGGTACATGACGGTTTCGAATACACATGAAAATTAATCAGCTAGGTTTGTAAACAGTTCTATACTTTTAAACATTTGCAGGTATATATGTTGTGTGGAAATTCATTTCATAACAAAATTCTTGTCCAAAAATCTAACCAACTGTGTTCCAACTGTATATTTCTATACTCATATTGATTACTAATTTACCTTCTTTTATCTGTTCTGATGACGATTACAGTCTGTTGATAAACATTGTACAGTATGTTGTACAGCTGCTTGTTCCTTCACTTTAAACGTATGATTAAAATGAAAGATTTTCATTGTCTTTTAATACAATCGATAATATATAGCTATTGTTACTTAACGTGACTGTATAATATATTTAAGTAAGTTATGGTATGCTACTGTTCTTTGATTATATTGATGGTTAGAAATAATCTTCTCAGTAGTCTTTAGTCATTTTGGTAAGTTTGATTTACAAATAACAAGGTCATCTGAAAACAGATATTAGCTGGGACAAACAAAAAAAGTAGCCATACTTTTTTAGTCCTCTATCTGAACATAGTAACATGGATCTTTAATATCCTAGTAAAAGTATCACAACCACTGATACAAAGCTATTTCAGTAGTGACACAATATTAACCAATGACTGTCAACGCCTATTTGAGTTTCAAACAGAGAACTGACTGACATATTTCTCTAGTGTACATTTGTTGGACCGATTTCAATCCAAATTCATGTTTACAGTTAGAAGATGTGTAGTATTCAACTCACACCTGACAATAACCCTGTTGATTGAAGGATACAATTTGATTTACAAAGGTGATTACATATAATTTTAAGTTCAACAATATATTTTTTTCTAAACGAAAATAAACATTACACTGACATTTTCACTATTAGTTTGAACAGAAGTGAACATAGACATACTTTTGAATTATAAAGATGCTGATAAAGCTTACCGACAAATTTTCTTTAACAAGAATTCAAAATAAGAGTTTATTAGTGGAATCTCACAATATTCTCACGACATTCTTTATCAATTCATCTTTCAATCATTTTAAAATATACATCATAGAAACAATGATGATCAACTTGAGGAATAAATTAATCAGAGAACTTAATAAAAAGTAAACAAAACAGTTTTGTTCTTTTCACCTGTGGTTACGATCGACCTACTGTTAATTACATTCTTGTATGTGTTCGTGATACAATATTACTATCATTCATTTGAATTTGCTATAACCCAAGAATGATATTTAGTTTCCCCATAAAAGATCATTCTAAACTTCTTTATCCTATATAACTAATGTTCGCTTAAATACACTCACTTTAATTAGATATTATCAATTACGAATAAACTTCTATCATAATATTCACCTTTCTAGAAGAATGCCCAAAATAACACGGTTCGACCTATATCTGTTACCGCTTCTGAAATATGGTAACTATGACTACTGCAACTGAGTGAAGAATATGCGCTATGCTTGGGAAAATAATAAGAGTTGTCTTAAATGAGTAAACTGTAACTTAACGAAAAAACATACGACGTTGTGTCTTCAGAACTTATTAATGATGTTTCATAATGCTTTTTTTTATTTTTCATCCTAGTTACCTCAGAAATGTTTGTAACAATATGACATCATTTGCCAAAGCATGTATAGACTTTTCTAATAATTTGAAAAATTTACGTTTTACTAAATCAAATGCTACAACCACTTCTTCCACGGTCACAGTGAACAATCCAACGGCTACAATGACTAAGTCATCAGTTGTTTTAAATTTTGAATCGGATACAATAAAAAACTCCGTGACAAATGAATATATTATTTCAGTCACTAACAGAATTGTAGCCAATAATCCTAAAACTAACAATCATCATTCCATTATTAATTCAACTGAAGAAAAAAATCGGTTTGAGAAGAATCATAAGGACAGTGAACACTTTACAGATGATAAATGTACCATTTGTAATAAACTGTTCTTGATTCCTAATAATAACAGTACTAGCGCTGCAAGAAACACCAATAGCGATACTATCAGTATTAGTAGCACAAATCTTGGCGGTAGAATTCCAGATGAAAAAAAAGACTCATCAATATCGGGAAAGTCAGTGGTTGTAAAACATTCTGAAACTAATTCCCTTGAAAACCCTACAATTTCTCCTAATACAACAGCAATGACACAAAATAGAAAAAACATTATGCCTAATGGATTTGTAAATAATGATTCTTTGAAAAGTGTGATTTCAAATTATTCTGATTATCGATTACCGGATTCGAAGATCTCAAACTCCTTACCTAGTAGTCCAGTGCCAAGACATAGTTTTACAATGAAAAATAAGCCTTCATCAGATAGCAATACTGCGAATAACAGACGTGCTCATAGTAATATAAATAGTTTAACAGATTCCCCATTCACATTCAAAGCTACACTTTCGCCGACTATGACACATCGTTTAGCTATTCTTGCACGTAACTGTAAAAACAGTATTGTTAGTAACAATAATAGTATCAATGGTAGCGATTCTACCGGCTATACATACAATCGTTATTCAAATAATTCAATTTCATCGTCTTCTTCACCCTTATCATCTCATCGTGGAACAACAGTAGCTGCCATAAAACAAAGATTGGTAAATCAAGGACTACGAATTAATTTAAACATTCCAGTTAAGAAACTATCATGTACACGTTATCGAGATTATGTAAGACGTCAAAAAAGAGGTTGTCCACATACAATTGAATCGTTATGGTTGAATAAGAATTTCATGAATAATATATTTGTTTATTTAACTGGAAATGAACTGATTCACTATTCAATCGTATGCCGTACATGGTATGAATTTATGTGTTTAAATGGTTTCCAGAATAAATTATGCTTTGTTTTAAACATCAAAAAATTAATTAGGGAAATAGAAAACAGTCACGAGGATTCAAAATCGAATCAATATGCAGACTATAAAGATCCAGTTATTATTTCAAACCATTGTGATCACATTCCATTACCAAATGATTTATTGTACAGTTATTTAGAAGACTCTATTCGAATTCGCATTGTATCCGCTATAAACAGACACCTGGAAACCATTAAAATTGTACAGTTGGTTGAGAGATTTAGTTCAATATTGTATAATATACTAGAAATGCTATTAAGCCCAAATCACAACGTAATTTTGACATCACTATCACAATCTTCCACTATTGAAACGTATTTCCCTCAGATAAATACAACAGTTGCAAACACTTTAACTAAAACTAAAACATTCAACAACCGAATCTTATTGACATCGAATGAAAATTATTCAACATGGATAAATGAAACAAACGAGAATAATAGCCCAGTGTTCAAGACAAATGATTTTATCAATTCATTCCAAAATCAAGTGAAAAAACAACAACAACAAAATGGTTTTATACAAGACAATAGTCTTATAAAAGTAAACTATGCTATACAAAATAAATTATCATTAAATAGTGATTCACCTTCAGCATCGAATGATACATGGAAATTAAAAAATATTAGTGATTCCAAAAACTCTATCTCTTCAAATCGCTCAAGTCTAGAGAACATTAATAGTAATTCATCATATACACATAAATTTACTCACATAATATTTAAATCATGTAGTATACTAGACCAATCATTGTCACGTTTAATAAATTTATTTCCTTCTCTAAAACAATTAGAATTTGAGTGTTGTAACGATTTTACTGAATTAGCATTTTGGTCTTGTCTTTTACCGAGCATTGAATGTTTAACAGTGTTTGATTGTATCAATGTTTCAGATGAAAGTATGAATGCAATTGGACATCTATTACCAGAATTAAAATGTTTTAAATTTCAAGCTTATCATATAACAGATGCAGCATTAAGTTATTTCAGTACAAAACAACGAATTAATATGCATACAATGGAATTGACTCAGTGTATGGATGTAACAAATCAAGGTATTATGACACTGGCCTATACACTGAACAACCTACAAGTTTTGAGTCTAAGTGGATGCAGCAAACTAACTGATGATGGTTTAGATGTGATATGTGAAAATTTAAAACGTTTAATATCATTGAATTTATCATGGTGCTCGAAGATCACTGACAGTGGATTAGAATGCGTAGCATGTGATTTAGTTCTGTTGAAAAAATTACTACTAGACAGGTGAGTTTCAGCAAATCGACGATAATGATAATATTCTTGTTTACGCTTTTTCTTATCACTTACACTGATACTTTTATTTCAACTATGAATTATAAAAACAGATACCACACTTATGGAATTTTGGAAATGCAGTCTTAATACTATTATCAGTAGGTATTAGAATTTTCCAAAAAATTAGCTGTATCCACAATCGTCAGAAATAATCAAACCAGTGAGAAACAATTTTGAGGCATTATCATATTATATCTTGGATCAAGTGAATAACTTTCACTCTTTATTTAAACTCATAGGTCATTCTGAATTAAAAGTGGACTATTTAATAAACTTTTTTAAATTCTTAGATTTATGTAAAACGATGGCAGTTCACAGTATTAAAGGCACTAACCAAATAACCACGTTACTTGTTACAGAAGTTAAATGTTATCAGACCGAAATCAATCAAGACACTGAAGCGGATTTCGTGGGACTGTATTAGGTTCTAAAGATGGATATCTTTGAAATTATTTTGCACCGCATCAAAAAACAAGAAGTTCAGCGAAGGAATATCTGTTCAACGAATTTACCGTCAAGCTATACTATCACGCATATATATATATATATATATATATATATATATATATATATATATATATATATATATATATATATATATATATAACAATGAATAAACATTATCATGTAACGTAACATTTCTTTTAAAACAATATCCCAATGATCTTAAAGATTGAAATGGCAACAACATTTTTACCATTATATCAGAAAGATGAAGTATGTATTAATATAATAACTTACCTGAGTACAACGATTTAGGTATAAAATGCAAGACAATTTTTAATAATATAACCGCCACTACTTCTAATCAAATGGTTTAAATAAAATACTAGTAAATAGGACGATCATACTGATTAATCGTGACTCGATTGGGCGACTTTGAAAGTGTTTCGTTCTCTAAGCTGGATGGTTTCGTAATAATAGAACTAGCATATTAATCATTTGTGGAGAAATTCTAATAGCTCGCTTCTTTTTGAAGTATATGTAGATGACGTTTATAAAGACAATGAAAGTTTCACGATTCAACCAACCAGTCCAGAGAACTCAACACATCCAAAATAACCAGGGTGAATCGCGTCAAACTTATACGATAGATGTGAGTTAAATATTATGAATTTCAAATAGCTTATTTGAATAAACGCTTATCGAAGTAAACTTGGGGGTCAATGAAACATAATCGAAATAATGTAGTCAAGTGTTGTTTGCTGTATTTATCCAGAAAATCTGTTTTTCGTATAATGAGAAACGACTAGGTCCATACGCTGGTACTCGTTATTGTTTCATGTCCAATCAATTTACCTAGGTCAATCTTGCAAAGAAATTTTTGAAAATGTCAGCATTTATTTAGTTTACTTTTTGTATTTAATGTATTGGTCGGATTCCAAAACGTTTTCGAAAAATTGATGTTTTATATATTTGGACTGTGATCAGAAGTAGAAGCTAGGACATGTTTCATCCAGTTTAGCATTCGTCAGCCAAATGTGCCTGAATTCCAGTGTTGATGTGCACACTCAGACTCCGAAATGGGACCTACTATTTCAAATAGCAATGAGTTATACACTAAGCTACTGAATCCGGATATCCACCAACGTTTTTAAAAAATATAAACCCTTACAAATGAATTCAATTTAGTTAAAATGAATGAAAAGTAATTATTATAATCATTATTAAACAAGGACTAATCATGAAGGATATTGTGTATAGGTGTTTTTAGTGTAAAAGTAATGTATGATAATAAAATAATATATTTCTAATATTGTCGTGAATAGAAAATTGAATTTCTGATGCCTCACAGTTCAATGTTAGTGACTTCTTCAAAGAATAAATAAGTGAATTAAATTAAAACAATTTTAAACAGTAAAGAGAAACAAAGAATATTTAGTACCATCAAAATCGGTTTGATCATATCATTTCCGTCTAGATGATTCTGGATAAAATATTATTTGCTTCTCTCATTAGTATAACGCGTATATTATAAGTAACTTATGACATTCTAATTGAATAAGGATTTCTAGAGATAACATTACTAAAAAGTTAGGATCACTTTGAATTGAAATTTGATTATAATTCTACAGTTTAAGTATCCTCATTAATTGGAATTCAATTTTTAAGATGTTTCTAATCATTATTCTCATCAATGGCGGAGAGATACAAAAGAATATTTGGCTTTACAAAGACGAAATGAATACCAGATAAAAGGGTTAACACGTATTTAGACAAATAACTACATGAATTCCGTATAAAAATATTCTTCTTAAATGAGAACAGATAAAATTTTATTTGTAATGTAACATTTAAACAAGAAATAAATCTAAATGTAAACAACATCAAGGTTTCGAAAATTCTTGTTAAGATATAAACACTGTATTCCAAATATGCATACATACCTCACGTATCAAAAAGGGGTTTTCTGGATATTATAGTGATTTTAATAGTTTAGATCATGAAGCTAGACAACCCCGTAATATCTGCAAGCACTAGACGGACGTTTCGTCTTAGCATGGGACTCCTCAGCAGTGCTTATCCACAACCTCACCTCGCGGGACTCGAACCCAGGAATTATCAGTCTCGCGCGCGAGCGCTTAACCACTGAGCCGGTATCCAACGTTGTTAATACCTAAATTCAACTAATCCACAAAATTGAGTGACACATCGACCATTGTCTTCAGTGAGTAACTATCTCAAAAAAGACCCGGTTGAATTCCACTAGTCATTGCTTCGCACTAGAACTCCAGGAAATACCTCTTGAAGCCAGTCACTAGTGAGCATATGGCGGGATCGTGGATACGCACTGCTGAGTCCCACAATAGGACGAAAAGGCCGTTCAGTGTTATCTAGTCATGAGATTTCCTTGCATATGATAAGCATCATCCTAAACACAGTATTCCTAAAATAAACATAATACTAACTCCAACTATACATGAGATAGGGTTCGTGAGTTCCTATTCTCCCGACGATTGAGTCACTGTTAAACTACTGAGTTGAAATTTCACTGTACACAGTTTATTAGAGTTTTGTCATTATTTATCCGTTAGTTTAATATTTTATTCATTATAAAATTATTGTTCTTATTTTCAAATCAAATTTCTTTTCAGAAAGATGTAATTTAGTGTTTTTTAGTAAGAAGAAATCAATGATTTATTGGTTGATTTGACATTAATCAAAGTCTGTATGATCATAGGAAAACAACATCTCTCATTTCTGTATTAATATGACATAGTGGAACGTCCAAAAGCATTCACTTAATATCAGGTAGTAATTATTACATAAAACCAGTCATAAAAATAGTAGAGCATGACTCAACTATGAAGCACTTCAAGTTACCAAACTTCAAATCCACACAACAAGAAAACAGAAATTTTTAGTAGAACGTCGCTAAAAATTCACTGAATATTTGGACACTTTAAGACCTTAACATATGGAAGTATTATGAAACTTGATAATATGATCTATTCGGCCACGTGAGTTTATCAGTCAACGCTGTATTTTACCAAAATCCACTATACTAATTTAAAAGCTACCTCCGAGTGTATCTTTGCATTTACGGAAAACTATATCTGAGAGACTAATACTCCATGACTGATTTCCTAGATTACAGAGAAGAAAGCTCATGAATAAAAAAAACTGTACTGAGTTACCCCTATCTAAAGAGCAGTTGTCTCACTTGTTTTGAAGAACACACTTCAGAGAACACTCCTCATGTTCATTGTAATTTTCTTCAAAAGTAGAATTAATGCGATGTTAACATTTTAGCTTATCGAAAGACTATGGTTATTATATCACTTATTGATATTATTTATCAAATATGGAGTATTTGATTTCAATTATTTTTAATATACAATAGGCCTGTTTTTACAAACCTTTAAACCTATCCACCATCTTTTAGTTGTTTTGTTTCATTTTCAAACAAGCTGTCAAACATGAATGCAAATGGTAGATGACCACATATTTCCTCACAAATATGAATGCATTTGGTAAAACACCTAAGTATACCATACTGAGTTATTGCATAGTTTTTTTAAGAAACGAAGATTAAACGAATGATAGTTTAATGAATGTGCACATTATTAAATACTTTAATCATATAGCTGATTATCACCACTCTAAGGTATTATAACGGTTTCAGGAATAGCATGTCAAACAAGCCTCATACGGCTTATACCTTAAAACCTAACAGCTTTGTCTTTTCTGTTTTTATCCCCGTACTTTTATGAGTTACATAATCATTCATTTTAATTACTGTTAGTTTGGAAGTTGATCTTTATCTTTTGAAAAATATATTTAATAGTCATAGAAGCAATAGTAATGGTAATAATAATAATACACTCTGGAAAACAAACTGTAATAACTAACATGACCAATTTCTCGGCTTTATTACTAAAATTTTATAACTTGCCAGTTAAAATGAAGACATAAAATAAAATGAACCTAGTTATCCACTGTCTAATCACCACCACCTCAGAATGTGTCCTTCAAAACTTTATTTCTTTGCACTTGAAATAAAAACAACAAATAAGTTTCATTTTACTTCACTGTTTAATGATTAGTAAATAAGCCATTAATTAATTCATACTGATATGTAAGCACAGTTCTTCATATGATTTAGTATAAATATCGTACAATTTCAAGAGTTTTTTTCCACAAAACGATATTTGCTGTAGAACTATTCGAAAACTAGAGATAAATCATTTGATAGTATTGTACTCATCATAAAATCTGAAGGTCCTTAGTATGATTACGTGTAAGTAGGGGATGCAGACTCCCAAGAAGATTCAAATTAGAACTAGATCACTATGAAACCACCTCCTATGAACGTGGGAATCTTTGCATTTGAATCCTTATCCTCTTCAAAACATAAGAATTTAATTACTCTTTCTTCAATAAGATTTGTGACATTGATTATATATAAAAGATATCGACTGTTATTACACAGATTATGTTGAGAACAGTTTCACCTTTAGTATCACCAAGTAACCACTGTGGTTCCTAAAATTAAGTTTGTTCTGAGAATAACTATGTTCTGTATTTGTATGTAACACTGACTTTTTCTTAGGAAGTTCATTATCATCCTGGAAGACCGGCCATATGTATATTTAAACTTTACAACTCCAATCCTCACTATTCAAAACCGGTAGTGGAGTTAAATATGATTTTCCTTAACTTTCCATCATTAACTTTCAGACTCAAAATATGTTTGCATAGACAAGCATGCAAGCTGACTAGAACTTTTCCAATGTATTCAGTTCTGTCATCCAAAACCACTGTCCGTTTCCTAGAACTTCAACAAATTCGTCTAGAACGTGTTTAATCTCCCTACAGGTGGTATTGCTCTTAAAAGAGTAGACATCTTGTGCCTCATAGCTCTTTGTCAGTGCAAACAGGAGTGTATATGACAATGAGTCACCTGTAAATCCTTATATTTATCCGGGCACAAAAGGCTTCAGTACATGAAGTTCTGTGCAGCATGCCGTCATTGATAACACCAACACCATGCAGTTCCTTGACATTGAGTTACTTTAGTGGCCCTATATCTCGTCCTAGTTAGATCGTATGTTGATTGTTATCGAAATATACGTGCCGCCAACCCTCGTATATTTTCATCAACTTAATTCGCATTAGCGAATAACAGAATAAAAAAAGCCAAATATGAGAATTAATTTTGAATACGTATATTTCACACACTCACTGATCTGGACAGACAATCAGAGAAACGAAATGAAGTGACACGCAGCGAAGAAGGCGAGTGAGCCAACTGCTTTTGACCAACTATGACTTAATATTTACATTTATAAAAAAATGGTCAGGGTTAATAAGAAAATAATTGACAAGGTTAAAATGTGGCTTGAGAATAATGAGCGAATTGTTCAATAGCTAGAATAACCTATGTGTGCTTGACATCATACCAATCTCTACTATACAGCTCCATTTAACTGAGATTATGTTGGGGTGATGTCTTTAGGCATATTTTTAGAGGTTACGGTTCTATAACAAGCTATTATTTTTTCATAATCTAACAGCGAAACTAATACACCTGACCACTTTTGTTCGTACAAGCCATTTCACCTACTTATGTGTATATTTGGTATTTCAGTAACCATTATATCCAACAGGTTCCAAAAGACTATTTTGCACGAATACTTAGAGGTATAAATAAATGAATAAGACGTGAGACAGTCATTTGGTGGTAACAGACTTATCGTCTAAGGTTATGTCTACTGTGGAAAGAAACGTTACAAAAACAGTTAGTCCTTGTTCTTCACCTAGTAAATCATGATCTAGTGAGACCTGCATAACTTCATCTTCACTCTTAAGTATTGACCAACTCTTTTGTCCTGTTAACATCTTACTTTAAATTCATTTACAAAGTTTGTATTTATTTTATTCTCCATTTTGTTTTAATATGTTACGCAACCGATTTACATAGTCGTTTATCTCTATCCAATCACAACGTCAATTTGAATAATGATAATAATAAATGTCTTTTGTCTTACATTAAATTATCGATTGCTTTGCTATTATGCATACAGTTTTATAATTGTTTTCAATAAATTTACTGAATCACGAACCAAACAAATTTATTTAGAATATGATCAATGAATTCATTTTTTCTATTTATTTCATATTTGAAGGTAACTACATGTTAAGACAAGTGAAGAAGTAATAATAGCAACTGGTACAATATACGAACTGAAATTGAAAATAATACTTGCTGGCCAGAATCAACTGATATGAAGCCTAAGTCCAGGATTCTCCATCTATTGTTTTCAACTATGCCATATCAGAAACATAATATACCGCCATGTTGAATGGCTTAGTCTAGTGGTCGCATTTTCACTTAATCAATATATTTCGATTAGCAATAGAGATTAAAAATCAGAACATCGGTTATTATTACATGATTGATCAGTGTATTCAATTGAACAAACCAGTATTACTTACCAAGTTAGAAAATTATACTAAGGTCGTCCATCATAGATTATTGTAATTTTATTACTACAAGAAATTTACACATTTTTGTTAACTAGAGATAGACGTAAATGTACACAAAGCATATCTGTAACTTTTGGCTGTTCAAAACCAGTGTAGGTATGGTAACTTGAAAAATTACAATCCACTAACTTAAGCGACGTAAAAAATAAAACAGCCAAATCATAGCTTCACACAGGTAGATATACTTTGGTTATTAGAACTAATACTGCATTATGAATTTGTTACACAAGATTCAAATGTTGTATAGGTCTTGACCAGATATACGAAGAATATATTTCTTTATTTTATTAGATAATAACCATCTTACTAAATACTACGTCAAAGTATAATAAGAAATTCTTAACACAAGATATAAAATCTCGATAAAAGTTCTTCTTAGTCAATATCTTAAATGTGAAAACTCAATGACAAAAGTATTAAAACATTGTTTCAACCAGCCAATTCTCTGATTTGCAATTTTCTCTTTGAGTTGGTTAAAGTGATATGTAGATTTTGCATTTGGTTTTACATATATGAATCCTAACTTACACGCTTCTTGTTTCACCAATGAATAGCTATGAGTAAGGAGGATAGATTGCATTTGCTTACATAACACTGATCAGTTGCTTACACGAGTTTAAACGTCCATTCACAATCAATTAACTAATAAACACAAAAGGTTTATCATCGACTTCACTGAAAGACTTCTCGATCCTGAGTCACACACTTTGGCTTTTTCTCGAGTGTTCAAGAGATAGTAGGGAATAAAGCAAGAAATTTAAAAAAAAATAACCATTCATTAACAATTAACGGTTACGAATAAATTATTGTTATTCATAACCTTGCATAGTATAGGTAAACATTAGAAATATATTTCCCCGAAATTCAGATCGACTCAACTTGATATAAAAACAATGTATTTTGTCCATGAGTAATTACATCCCATCAATGATAAATCCATTGTATTCGTCAACATATGTCTCAATTGCTTATTACTTTTATGACTAGAATAATCAAGCAACCAATAATAATAAAGTGTATTTCACTGAATTTCTATTGCAATAACTTCCAACTCAATAATTTAAATCATTGATATATGATATTATTCTAATGATTTCTTACTGCATGTTCGTAGCATACGTATACGTTAAAAATTACAGCACTAGGTAATTATGTCAGGTAGCAGTCATACACAACTATCATAACGTATTTCGTCATCACAAGTAAAAGTGAAAGAACTCCAAGGATAAGCATAAAAACCCATCCATCAACCTCGATTGCAATTACATCCTGATTTGAATGAATAATCAAGCGACATAAATCATTAGTGGAGGTATAAAGCATTCTCTACAGATTTTAGACTATCAAAGAACTAGCATCATTAAAAATTCAAAGATCTATATCCACGAAAAGTAGGTTGAATCTTTTCTACTTTGATTGGTCACAGGTTCAATAAGTAAAAGATTATCTCAAGTTTAAGGTAGCCTATATTTATTTTCTCTCTGTATTTTACCGTTTAAATTTATTTGGTTGAACTATTTCTCTTCTTAGATAGCTTAGCAATGTATTGAATAGTAACTCCAGTTTTATTATCTTTCACTTAATTCATATCATTTCAAGAATTACGTAATCTGGCTGAACATTACAAGTGGTTTTTATTCTTTAAACTACTTCTCTTTATTGTGACCATTGACCTCATGAATTTATTTGTCCTAAAATCCAATTCAAGCCTAAATTACATTATATTCGGGACATTATCAACAAATGTTAATGTATTTCACCTTCAATCTTATAATTTCAGTGCTGTCTCCAAATTACCCATCACTTTTGATTATTACTTTGAATTGGTAACTATAGTATCTAATTTGAGCTTACTTCTTTTTAACTATTCATACACACATCTGTGTTGTGATTAGTTATTGGTAGGATATGAAGAGAACAGGTATACTTATGAAGGTAGTTTCAGAGACTGATATTTTTTCTTATGATCAGAATAAAATTATTATTCTCTTTTCTAATCATAAATTTATTTTACAATTTTGATATCTCCAACCTCCCATTCACCCGCTTTCAATAATTATAGGTGTATAGAATTGACTGATCTGGGAATAAGCCATTTAGCGACAATGTCTAATCTTCAACATCTCAGCGTAAGATGGTGTGTCAATTTATCAGACGGTAGTATACCTCATTTACTTAGTACGACAGGATTAAATTATCTATGCTTAAGTGGTAAGTTATACATGCATACTTACTTAGCAATGACATTGTATTTATCAAATATGCACTTTCAAAATCATAAGAGAGTGAGTAAACGAATTTATCAGAATTATAATTTGTTGTACTTTGTTAAACTGTAATTGAAGAAGTGAAAGCTCATCAAAGTAATCCTAATGTTACATACTGAAATCGAAAACGAATGATCAGAAACGAATTTGTAGCCTTTTTAATTTCAGATTAGCGAATACAATTTACGGGTCCACAAGTCCAGTTCATATTTACACCATTTCGAATTCGAATTAATTCAATATTTTAAAATCTCCCGTTCATAATTTTGGAATCAAATATCCTTTATTAGTAAGATATGCTTCAATTTCTGGATGAGCCAGTAACAATAATTCTAAACTAGGTTATTTTGAACATTTTTAACTTTAGCCAACAATTCCAGAATATTTTCTAATCTAGGCTAACACTACACAGTTACATGTACAATTTACCAGTTTTATGATTCAAGCAAGCCAATTATAACCATTACTCAGAGCCTTGAAATTGACTTAATGTTTCGTTCGAACGCAAGAAATGATTTAAAGATAACTACTAGTTTCGAGCGTTCGTATATTATTCGACTTCAAATAATACATGTAAGTCGTACGGTAAAACAAGAGTAACTTTTTGATCATTAACTTGCCTACAGATAAGTGGAGTGATAAAGGAAGTCAACCACTCCATTTTATCAGTGGAAAACGGTACCAAAGAGTCAAGCCATACTTTACAGAAAAACTAGGATTTGGTTTTTATAAAGATTTCACAGCCTATTTAGTTGACTGTTGTTTTTTATTGTAAATGGATTAAATGAAAAGCAGGAAGCAGAGATACTCATAATACCTCTCTATAAAGAATCGAAAGAAAACAACTTTAACGGACAAGACTGGCTATTTGCAGATTGAATAACGAATAATCATGAGCTTGACAAAAAAGCCTTTCGTCCAAGAAGAAATACATCACAAGAAAATATCATCAATGAAATTATTTGTAAAATACTAGTATTCAAAATCTGCCACTTTAATTTTAAGTCATTTACGACTAATAGAGAAAATAAATAGGTCTGCGAGTCAGTGCAACTTTCTGATCGAATTTTCGTGCAATAACACTTGCTTGTGAACCGATTTGTATACACTATAGTGATTACTATGATTATTCAGACACAGAGACCAAGAAATACACTACTTCTACAGTCCTCCGGCTGCTAGTCATTGGGGAGGAGTTTGGAGCGCATGATTCGCTCTGTACGTAGAGTATTGGGTGCTCTGTAAAGGAACAATCTTTAACAGATGAAGCCTTGAAACTTTCATGATAGAGGCTGAGCGTATAATTAACAATAGACCTTTGGTGCGGTTACGGACGACTCTAATGATCTCGATGCAATAACACCAGCGAAACTATTACTATGAGAGAGAACGTCGCCCAACTCACTAACATCCTATCTAATGACAGTATTCTAAGAGATGGAAGCAAGCGAATAACTTGGCACAAGTATTTTGGAGACGTTGGTCTAAGGAATATGTTTCGTTGTTACAGCGTAGATACAAGTGGACCCAACTAGAGAGGAACATACGAGAGGGTGACTTAGTAATGATATATTCCGAGTTCTCCGAGAAAAACAAATGGCCCTTGGGTCTAGTGCAGAGAGTGTTACCAAGTAAGGATTAGAGGCTTAGGTAGAATTGAGGACAAAAATGGGGATCCTAGTGAGAGATATTAGAAAATTGTGTCTTCATGAAGCCGAGTGGTAAGTAGCTACTCGGGTCCCTAGGCGTACTGGTGTAAGTTCTAGGGATCACGTAATTGTTGGTATATTGAGTGTTTGTTGTTGATTGTTTGTGATGCATATATTTGGATTCTTGTTGCTTATTTGTTTGTCTGTGAAAAGAAATAGGTTCTTTTGGTCGGGAGTGTTACGTGGGAACTGAAGACATTTGGCAAATTAAAACCTTTTTATTGTACATTAATAATTTACTGTGTTTTTGGATGTAATTGTTTTACTTAACTTTGAACTTGTTTGTTTATATCATTATTTCGGACATTTTGGTTTGTCCTTGGTTTGGTATTTTGGTGCTCTCTCTATCTTTGGTTTGGTATTTGGGAGTTTTGCTCCGGGAACCTACAAAATTGAAGGTTTGTTTTGTAATTATTATAATTATTGTTGTTAGAACGACATTTGGTCGATTATTTGTGAATTACGAATAAATTTGGTATCCAAATTGGAGTTTGGTTCTGTTATTAATTTGGGTTCGTAATTTGCAAGTAGATCGATAGTCCGTACTTCAATAACTAGAACGAGCAAAACTTGGACGTAACATAAAGTTCTTCAATTATTGGTTCTGTGTTTATACCTTGGATTTTCTGGATATTTGGATTCAATTTCCTGATCTTATTGGTCGGTTTCGTGTGGATTAACTCGTAATTGTTTTGGTAATCGATTTCTTTGGAACAATCAATACGATGGAAACGCGGAGCAAAAGGCTGAAGGAAAATGACGAAATGGATAGTAAAATTTCTAAAGCTGTTTGCGGTATGTCTGATGTTAATGATGATAAATGTGATGATGTTAGTATTAATAGTATGTCCTCTAGCCAACTAAGTGCTTCTAGGTTAAGGTTAGATAAGGCATTACTGAGGAAAAGGAATTTAGAAAAGAGACTTGAATTGGAACGGCAACTTAAGATGTTAGATCTTCAAGAAGAGGTTGATATCGCTGAACTAGAATGCAAGGCCGTCGAGGACGAAGAACGGTTACCTGTAGATAAATGTGAGATAAATGCTAAAGTGGAAAATTATTTGGATTGTGATACTGGGTGTAATAGTCACTCAGGGAACGTACGTAACATCTCAAAGGTCGATTGGGTTGGCGAACTGAAGGACACGTTACATACAATGGTTAGTAACATGGTTTTACCTAAGATCGATATGATGTATTTTGATGGGCAACCGGGTCAGTATTACCGTTTCATCAGTCAGTTTAATAGCCTTATACAGAGTAAACTGTCAGATAAGAGCCAATTGCTGTCGTATTTATTATATTATTGCAAAGGAAAGGCTAGAACAGCAATCGAATCTTGCGTTTCTTTGCCCAGTCATTTAGGCTATGATAGGGCTAAACGAATTTTATATGATTTATTTGGTAAAGAGCATCTTGTTGCACGAGAACTAATCACTGAGTTATTAAACCATAAATCTGTCGGAGGATCAGCTGACGTATTAACTGACTTTGCGATTAAGTTACGTAATGTATGTATAACGTTGAAGGAAATGGGATACATGTCTGACGTCAATTCTACGGCTAATTTGGAGATAATAGTTTCATGCCTACCACTAGAATTGCAGAATAAGTGGGTGGAAGTCGCCGATAAGATTATGATGCATGGGAAGGATCCGAGCTTTGAAGAATTTGTGGTCTTCGTAGAAGAGAGGGCCAGAATTGCCCGAACCCGTTATGGTAGATTAGTACAGTGTAACTCAAGGTTCAGTAAAAGGAATTCTGAAGGCCAAGTGGATAGGAGATCACGCTTTCATGCAATTAGACGAAACCCAAATAACTCAGTCAAGGTACCACGTTGTGAAATCTGCGTAGGTGATCATGAGGCGACAGATTGTCCAAGGTTATCAAAAATGAATGTAAAAGAAAGGAGGCAGGAGGTAAGAAAACGTGGTCTATGTTACTTATGTTTGAGGAAAGGTCACATAGCTATGTCATGCAACTCAGGCTTCAAGTGCCGCGTTGAGAATTGCAAGGTTAGGCATAATTCGATATTGCATATTGATAGTATTGATGGCCATATGGTGAATTTAGCTAAGGATTGGAACTCCTCAAGGGTTTGTTTGGGTATTGTTCCAGTCAGACTGTACGGTCCCAAAGGATGTTTGGAAACATATGCACTTCTAGATAGTGGTTCGGACACTTCTCTTGTATGTGAAGAATTAATTAATCAGTTGGGTATTAAAGGTAAAGAGACTTCGATAAAGGTGGCGACTGTGAACGGGACTACCAATTGTGAATGTTTGGAGGTAAATTTAGAGGTATTTTCATTAGATGAACGGGGTTCTATAAAGATCAACAAAGTTTACACGACCAAGAAACTTCCGATCGATCATGCAGCACCTTTAAACGAACTCCAACTGAAGCGATGGAAACACCTAAGGGACATAACCCTCCCGAGGTTGCGAAGTAATTTTGTAGGAATATTGATTGGGTGTGATGCTCCGGATGCACATTGGGTCTTGGAACAACGTCTGGGGGACAGGAAGCATCCGTTTGCTGTGCGTACTCATCTCGGTTGGATGATTATAGGTCCTAAGGGAGTATCAAGGTCTCTACATCAAGTTCAATGGTGTCATTGTTCCGCTAATGATATTTTGCGAGATTTAGAAAGATTATATAATCATGAGTTCGAAGATACAGATACGTTTCGTAATGGATATTCTGTCGAGGATAAAAAGGCTCTAGAAATAGTTAGCAATTCGTTCAAATTGGAGGGTGGTCATTTCCAAGTTGGTCTACCATGGAAGTATGATAAGCCAAGGCTACCGAATAATTTGGAACTAGCTGAACGCAGACTAGAATGCTTAAGAAGGAGGTTTATGAAAGATAACAGTCTTTTGGAGAAATATCAAGTTGTGATGAATAAACATTTAAGTAAGGGCTACATCACTGAAGCTAGTAAAGAAGAATTTGACCATGATGCTGTTTGTTGGTATATTCCTCATCATCCTGTTATCAACCCTAAAAAGCCTGGAAAATTGAGAATTGTTTTTGATTGTGCGGCTGTCTATCAAGGTTGTTCTCTTAATGACCAGCTTTTCAGAGGACCAAATACTGTAAATAGTTTGATCGGTGTACTTCTACGATTTAGATTAGGTAACGTAGCATTAGCTGCTGATATTGAAGAGATGTTTCTTCAAGTAAAGATTCCGAGACAAGACAGGGGAGCGTTTCGTCTATTGTGGTGGGAAGACGGTGATATAAGACGAAAGCTTAAGGAATATTGTTTAACAGTTCATCCGTTTGGAGCCGTGTCGTCCCCTTTTTGCGCTAATTTCGCTCTTAAGAAGACGGTAGATATATTCGGTAAGGAATTTAATGAAGATATTCAGGACGTCGTAGATAAGAGTTTCTATGTCGACGACTATTTAGCCTCCATTGACAACGTGCAGGATGCAATTGAGCTAGCAAAAACCCTTGCTTTACTCCTCAGAAAAGGTGGGTTTAGACTTACGAAGTGGATAAGTAACTGTTTACAAGTTCTCGAATCAATTCATCCAGAGGAAAGAGCAGAAGCCGTAAGAGAGATTGACTTTGAAAGGCTTCCTATGGAACGCACATTGGGATTATTCTGGAATACTATGGTTGATTCGTTTGAATTTAAAGTTCGCATACCGAAACGTCCCCTCACTAGGCGAGGTATATTGTCGAGTGTAGCCTCACTTTACGATCCCTTGGGATTGTTAGCACCGTTTATACTTCCAATGAAGCAGTTACTCCAACGTTTAGGTAAATTGGGACTAGCATGGGACGAAGAGATTCCAAATGA